CCCCTCCCCTGCCTGCCCCTGCCTCCATCCCACCACCAGGCCCCCCATCCCCGTGGGGCTCCCCCGTCTGCCCCCTCCCCTGCCCCATCTGCCCCCCCTGTTCCTGTGGGGTTTCCTGCCTGGCCCCCTACCCCCAACCCTGCCAGACACCCCCTATTCCTCTGGCACCTCCCCGCCCATCCCCACTTGGCCCCTCCCCATCCCCTGCCCCACACCCAGGGCTCTGACCCCCGCCCCCCACCGGTCTCACCTCTGCCCCCCTCCCCCCAGGCCAGGCCCTGGTGCATGTGGAGCGCCTCCTGCTGGTTACGGACGAGCACGGCACGGTGATGGGCCTGGATTTCCAGCTGGGGGCCGGGGCCCCCCCCAAGCTGGCCGCGCCCCCCCCGCTGGAGCAGCTGGCACTCAGCCTGCTCTGCCAGAGCATGGCCTGTCCGCTGGGCGGGGGGGAGCCCCGGCGGCCCCGGCTGCTGGCCGTGGGGGACCCCGCCTTGCACAAGTGAGTGTGAGCGAGCGGGCGGGCGGCGGGGGGGCTGCGTGCCCATCCCCCACCTCGCTGACCCCTCCCCCTTGCCTCTCCCCACAGGTCACTGGAGCCCCTGCTGCCCCGGCTGGGGGTCAGACTGAGCCCGGGCCCCATGCGGGGCTGGGGGCCGAAACCCACCTTCACCTTCCCCTCCATGCGAGTGCGAGCCTGTCACGTGTGCAAGAGACACGGGTTCCAGGGGCGGCTGGTGCCGTGGTGAGCGCGGGGTGGTGGTGGTGGCGGGACCCTGCAGCCCCCCGGGGTCACCTTCACCCACCCCCCTGGCCTGTGCCCGGGCCGGGGTTTGTGGGGGGCTGCAGGCTAGCTCTGAGCCCCCCCGTCTGTCCCGTTCCCCCGCAGCCAGCAGTGCCGGGCCGTGCTGTACTGCTCCGAGCGGTGCCGGGCGGCCGACTGGGCCCGCAGCCCCGAGGATGCGGCCCACCGGGCCTGGTGCCCCCGCATGGCCGGGTACATGGCCCGCGCCCGCCAGCTGGCCGACCTGCCCTTCACCTTCGCCGCCGGTGAGTCCCGGGCAGGGGAACGCGGGGGGCGGGGTGCAGGGGGACATGGGGGGCCCCGGGCAGGGGCAACTCTGGGTGGCGGGGTCGCCAGGTGGGGGGGCTAGGAAGGGAGAGGCCGCTGGGGGGCACCAGGCAGGGGGTGCTGGGGCAGGGGAAGGGGGGCTCTCGGTGGGGGGGCTGGGCAGGGAAGGGGGCACCGGGCAGGGGGTGCTGGGGCAGGGGAAGGGGGGCTCTCGGTGGGGGGAAGGCCAGGGAAGGGGGCGCTGGGGCAGGGGAAAGGAAGGGAGGCATGGGGCAGGAGGCATTGGGGCACGGGAAGGGGGGGCTCTGGGTGGGAGATGTGGGGGTGCACAGAGCCGGGGTTTATCGGGGGTCCCGGCCCCCCATTTCCCTTGCAGAGGTGACCAGCGACGGGTTCAACAGGGAGGGGTTCCTGGCCGCCCGGGGGCTGACGCGGGGGTACTGGGCCCACGAGAGCATGCTGGTCCGGGCCCCCGACTATGGCGTGGGGCTGGGGGGCCGGAAGGACTGGAGACCCAGCCTGCTGCAGAGCGGTGAGCATGGGGGGGCCGGGGGCCTGTCCCCTCTGGGGGGCGCCGGCTCCCGTCCCCGCCGTAACCCCCCCTTTCCCTCCCCCCCAGGTAACCCCTTCGAAGCGCTGAGGCCGGAGGGGGGAGCGGCTCTGCCCCCCACCTCCCCGGAGCCCCCTGCACCCAGGACCTATTTCAGTGAGACGGGGGAGGGGCGGGTTATAGCTCGGGGGCGGGGCCTGGCAGCTGGGGGAGGGGCCAGTGGCAGCTGGGTGGGCGGTCCCAGCTCCGGGGGAGGGGGAGGTGCCAGTCACAGCTCGCGGGGGGGCGGGCGGTCCCATGGCGGGG